CTGAGGCAGAGAGTGCTCACTTGGCAGCAAGGGGATGTAGATCAGGCCTCTTCAGCCCGGCAGCAGGTGGCTGAAGGAGCTGCAGGATCTAGCAGCTGGGGTGCTCTTGGACTGACCTGAGCTCTTCTTGGTGTCAGGAGGTGGCCCGGGAGCTGGAGGAGAGCAAGTACCAGTACTCTGAGCCACGGCTCTCCATCTACGGCCGCAGTCCTGATGAGTGGCCCAACCTGGCCCGCTGGTTCATCCAGCACAAGGTCTACTCACCCAACATGCGCTGGATCATCCAGGTGCCCCGGATCTAGTAAGTGAGGCAGCCCGCTCTCCGCCTGTGCCCTCTGGGGCTCCAACCTGTCCCGAATGGGCTGCTGAGTCTGCACTATCGATAGGTGGGTCCTGTTCCAGTGCCAGCTTAGGCCTCTTCTCTCCAGGGATTTTCCATAGGGAAGGGTGGTTGGCAGAGTTGTCTTTGTGATGAACTTTTACTCTTTGAAGAAGTTATATGTGCAAGGGCCCAGTGGGAACTTCTGCCCATCTTCTTCTCACTGTCGGATAAGGATATCCTTTTGGGTGAGCATCAGGATATGAGTGACCTGGTGGTGGCCTACATTGCGGCCCACTCCCTAGATATGACTCAGACCACCACTGTCCTCTCCAGTTGTCCGGCTGATGTGAGGCTCATCGCCTCTGGATGGGCTGGGCCTGTGGTTTAGAGAAACTGAACTAAGTGGCAGAGAGTTTGTATCACTGGGGAATAGGAGGACTCATCTCTCAGACCCTTGGTCAGCCTGAATCCCTTCATCCTTCTTGCTGCATGGCCTCTGGCTTGAGGAAGTTCTCTGATAGGTTTGGGTAGATGTTGAGTTTGCAAACCAAGGCCTAATATTTCAGAACTTGCTAAGAGTTGGAGAGGGTGAGAAGGATCTGTGTTCAAGCCACATTTCTGACTCTCCTCTGGGTATTTAAACAGGACATGAGCTGACTGAGGAAGTGACTGATGTCGCTCTCCCGCGGGCCATGGCGGCCAGTGGGGCTTTCTTAGTCATCGAGTCTTTGCTTTCCTCAGTGACATATTTAGGTCAAAGAAGCTGCTGCCAAGCTTTGGGAAGATGCTGGAGAACATCTTTCTGCCCCTTTTTGAGGCCACAATCAACCCCCAAGATCACCGAGAGCTTCACCTCTTTCTCAAATACGTAAGTGTAGGTGGCGCCTCAGGTAATGTGCACAGTGGTGGAGAGAGGAGGGGCCTCCCCAGGGGTCATGGCAGGCTTCGCTTCCCTCCTCCTGAAGGGGCATGAGAGGCACAGGAGCTGGTCCCTCCCTCTGGGTGGCTAGAATAGAGGTGGCTGGAGACAGTGAGAAACAAGTTCAATATCCGGTGGAGGTTAGGAGCATGATTTCTGACAAGGAGGGAGGCTGGGGTCATGGAGTAGGAGTGATTGAGTTTGTGTGTGTTTTGTGGGGTGGGGTGGCGGGTGGCTACCAGGAAAGGGTTTGAACAAGCTGAAAGACATTGTTGAATTTATGTTTTAGACAAACACCCTCCTGGCTGTTGTGTGGAGAATGGCCTGGAGCAGAAAATGCCTAGAGGTCGGGTAAAAGGGTCAAGACAAGAGTCTGGGGCCTGTTCCTGCAATGCTTGAGGCCTGCGGGTGGTCCAGTTCGAGGCCTTGCATCAGTTGGATACAGTTCAGTAGAGGGGCTGACATTAGCCCTATGTTAGGCACTGAGAGTTCTCATGAACTAGTGAGCAAAGAGCAGAATTCGGGGTCCTCTGGACCCCCACACCTGTCCAGGCCACACTGAGAACTATAGTGGGGACCCTGTCATTCCTTTGACACATATGGCTCTATGACAAGGAAGATTCTGCCAAGACCCTCATGGTCCTTTACTCTTTTGAGAGAGGCTGGCTCCCAAAGGGGAGGATGGGCCTGGGTTGGGAGCCCCCCAGTTTGGGCCAATTGTGGAGCGAGTGGGCAGTCTTTCAGAGGTCCCCTCCCAAAGCATAGCTTTGGCTGAGTGAAAGGAGCGAGACATGCTGGCTAAGAGGCTATGTCCTCATAGGTCATTTGTGGTCAGGGCCTGACCTCTGGGATCGGGTCACTAGGAAGCCTGTGACTAGGGCGGGGCCCCCAGGGGCACATTTGGGCCCCCAGCTGAGGTGTAACTGCAACGGACGGCTGGGAGTCTCCTGAGCTTCTCTGACCTGGCTCAGGGAACTTCCCAGGGAGGAGTTGGGGAGCAGAGCCACCTTCCTCCCAAGAATGACGGCTCAGGCTTCCAAGGGGCCGTCTTGGACAGGGCTCACCTTGGCCCGTTTGTGAGACATCACAGCTGGATTTTAGTGGCCACACCTGGGATGTGCCCGAGGGTATCCTCCCTATAGCCAGAGAGTCCCGTTCCTGGTCCTCTCATGTGGGCAAGCTCCTTAATTGCCCTGATTTGCTCACAGGCAAGCCCTTCCTCCCAGGGTCACTCTGAGCATCAAATTAGCTGATGGGAGCTCAGTACTTTAAGCAGGGCCTGACATACAGTAGGTGCGTAGGAAATGCCCATCCCCTCCCCACTATAGCTGTTGTCCCTGCTGTCGATAGCCGTGGCTGCTGCTGGCCTCCCCTTGGCATATCAGAGGCATGGGCAGTGGCTGCCTTACTTTTCACCTGGCCTAAGAGTCCCCTCACTGTCACCACTACCGCACAGGGGCTTAGCACCCTCCTGGGTACCTTTGGAAGCCCTGGAGGGACAGATGGTGGCATTGTGCCCACTCCCCCTCCCTGGGAGGAATGTGGTCTCAGACTGGCCAGGGAGTCCACAGCTGAGGTGCAAACCTGAGAGGCCTGGACTCCAGGCCTCTGGTAGCTCATCTGCCTTGGCTTGATGTAGGACCCCTCCTCTTACCTAGGTGACAGGGTTTGACAGTGTGGATGATGAATCCAAGCACAGCGAACACATGTTCTCGGAGAAGAGTCCCAGCCCGGATATCTGGACCAGTGAGCAGAACCCTCCCTACAGCTACTACCTGTACTACATGTATGCCAACATCATGATACTCAACAACCTCCGCAGGTGGGTGAGCTGGCCCTGCACACAGGGCCACAGGCCCTCACACCTCACACCTAGGGACATGCCCCAGTGCACCACACAGTGCCACACACACACAGGCATGCCCAAGACAACAGACATGATAGTACGTGCTACGAAGCCAAGCCCCATGCTTGTACACACACATGTTCACACACACACCTGCCCACACCTATGTGGGTACCTGTCCCTCTCTGATATGATACAGACACAGGACATGTCAACACACATATATGTTCACTTACCACCACACAGTGTTCACATGTGCAATTATTCATGCAATAAGTTATTAGGCCTGCTATGTGACAGGCACTGTCCTAGGTGCTGGACATATCATATGGAACAAAGCAGACTAAACCGATGCCCTCATGATGCTTTCATCTACCATCTTACATGTATGGGCTCCTACCGGTGCACACACTCAGAGGAGGTGCACAGGGCAGGAGCTGGGTGCCCAGCACAGAAGGACACTGAGCCATCTACTCCCCTCCCTGCAAGTCTAGCATCCCTCCCACTCCTGCTGGGCCATGGGACCTCATTAGCTCAGCCTGAGCCCGTGCTAGTGGAGGTTTTGAATATCACCGTGACTGAAAGAGGATGGCCTGGTGTTGGGGTCGGGGTGTCCGGGGCTGAGCTTTTGGAGATGGGGCTCTAGTTCTAGCTCTGCCACTGACTTGCCCAATGGCTTTTATTCTCTAATTCTACTTTCTGAGTTGGCCCATTTGTCTAACAAAGAAGTTGGATTCGATGGTTTCTTATGGCTTTTTCTGCTCTGAAGGTCTATGAATCTGGGTTACAAGGCCTGGTGAAGAGAGGAAGGGGAGGAGTGAACGGAAGATAGGGCAGGGTCTCTTTCTACCACTAGGCCCCCTCTCTGTTTCCCAGAGATGGCGTTTGTTGTCTCTGAGGAGCTCTGGGCCTGGGCCTCTGCATTTTGGGAAGGGTAGTTTTTAGAGTGCCCAGTGTCAGCTGTGCTGACCCTGCCATGGGTGACTGTCTCCCCTGAGCTGGTGGTGCAGGCCCCAGGCCTGTGGGGTCCTGAGCAGGGTGGACCAGCAATGACCAAGAACCTTACTTTTCCTGTAGGGAACGAGGCCTAAGCACGTTTCTGTTCCGGCCTCACTGTGGAGAGGCTGGCTCCATCACCCACCTCGTGTCTGCTTTCCTGACTGCTGACAACATTTCCCATGGGTTGCTCCTCAAGAAGGTAACCAGGCCACTCACAGACTCCTGCCCTTCAATGACAGTCCTGCCCTGGGCCCCCCTGAGGAGTAGGATCCCCTGGGCTCCTGTCCGCCCCTTGGGTGCCTCTGGCTAAGTGATGCTAAAAGGCTTGGGCTGGGGTGTCTGTAGTCATCCAAGTTTCATATTTAATTTTGAAAGTAGTATTATTAAATATATCCAATTTGGATTTTCCGAAAAATGGAAATATGAAAAAAAAACCTTATTGCTATTGCTTTAATCGAAACAGCCATTATTAGCTTTCATAGTATTTCCAATTCTCATCTTTTTTCTAGAGCATATTTCTAATATGCTTATTATGATAATGAACACAAATTTTTGATTCCTTGTCCCTTTATATAACTAGCATTTTTTCTGTGCTGCAACTTAATATCCATGCTCATCATTCTAAAGGCTATTGGGAGAATGGCCTGGCATTCGGATGGTCTGTTATTGATTCAGCCGATCTCTAGTTGTTGGACAGACTCCATTCAACTTTTCACTGGTGTAAATAATGCTACCATGAACTCTGTACATTCAACCTCCTTAGTTTGTATCACTCCCATAGGAACCATGTTTGCTCAAACCGCTCCCTTGCCCTGACCTCGGGGAGGTCTAACCCCCTGTCACATTTCCATGTGGGATGGGTGCTACATCAGAAATCCACTCTAGGCTGGCCAGGTCTGCCCTACCCATCTGTGAGGAGCTGAAGTGTTTACAGTCTCAACCTGAATGTTTGTGGTCAAAGCAACAAAACAAAAGTGGGGCATCTCCTGGACTGACCCACTGGGGTCAGCACCTGGGGGAGAGGAGCTGAGTATGTTGGTTGGGGTCAGCCCAGGGCTTTGCAGCTGCCCTTCCTGCCCTGAGCTGTGCCTCACTTTTGGAGCCAAGAGGGAGCACTTCCAACACTGGGTGGGAGGACAGTCCCAGGGAGAGATGGGCATGTGAGGTAGGAATGAGGTGAATGTAGAGGTGGGGCGAAGAGAGGATAGAGACTGGGTGTCCTGGCTTTGGACTTGCACAGACACTGCCCAGACCCCTGGTTTCGACTGATGATGCTTCTCCCTTCCCTCTGTCCCTTTCTCTACCCAGCCCCCTTCCTCTCTCTGGCACTTATCACCTGAGTTTGGTTGTTCTTTTGCAGAGTCCGGTGTTGCAGTATCTCTACTACCTTGCTCAGATCCCCATTGCCATGTCTCCTCTTAGCAACAACAGTCTGTTCCTTGAATATTCTAAAAACCCTCTGAGGGAGTTCCTGCACAAGGGACTGCATGTCTCTCTCTCCACCGATGACCCCATGCAGTTCCACTACACGAAGGTGAGGACTTTAGGGGAAAGTGAAGACTTTAGGTGCCTTGTCCTCCCTCTGCAGGCACCTGAGCATATGGCTCAGTCCTGCCTTCCGGGCAGGACTGGGGCCCAGTGAAGATAAGAGCTAAGCTCTTGGTGAGGTAAGTGTTCCTTCCAGGAGCCGTCTTTTGGGGTCCTTGAATCCTTGAAGGCACCATTTCATTTCTCTGCTTTTCTCTATTTTCCCTCTCTTTGATATTTACTAGCTCTGTGATACTGGTAAAGTTCCTTGACCTCTCTGTATCTTTTTCTTCTTCATGTATAAAATAGTGATAAAATTGTCTCTACATCTACCCCTACCATATTGTGAGGATTCTTTAAGATCATGAACCAGAGAGTCTAATACAGTGTCTGCATATATTCGCTACCGCTTTTGTTAATGCTATTGTTATTATTACACTTTGCTCTGGGGAAAGGGAAGAGTAAGGGAAAGGTGATGTCATGCATGAGGACCAGCCATTAGTGTAACCAAGTACATTTTGATGGTATTGATAGGATAGCCATTGATTAGTAAAAACAGAAGTGCCAGAGTCTTCTAGGACAGGTTCTTCAAGCTTTTGGTCTCAGGACCCCTGAAGAATTGAGGCCCTCAGAGAGCTGTTGTTTACATGAGTTATATTTAGTGATATTTAACTGTTAGAAACTAATGCAAAATTGAAAAATATTAACTCATTAAAGTAACATTAATAAACCTATTAAATGTTAATATAAACAGCAATTTTTAAGAAAAATAATCGTATTTCCAAAAACAAAAAAATACTGAGAATGCCATTATTTTATATTTTTGCAAATCTCTAATATCTGGTTTTATAGAAGGCAGCTAGATTCTCATATCCACATTAAATCTGTTGTGATAAATTGTTTTTATCAAAATATATGAAGAAAACCTTGTCTCACAAAGATACACATTTGGAAAGGGGAGTATCTTTTAAAATGCCTTGGGGACCCCCCAGGGATCCTAAGGCCACATTTAAGAACTGCTGCTCTATGATACAGAGGCAATTGGGCGGAGAAGAGGTAACGGCAGGGCTTGTGATTAATTTGACATTTCTTATCCCGGAAGATAAAGCGAAAGCACAGCTCAAACCCAAATACTTTGGGGATTACAGTCTCAGTACTGACACTTGATCATTTCTCATTCTTATTTAAGTTTCCATCTCTGCTCTTTACTCAGACTAACTTTTAATTTTGGACAATCTTAAGAAAACAGCCTGTTAAATAAAAAGCAAAGCTATAGAACAGGTATTTAAAGTGTTCTGACCCAGGGACTGTCACAGGGGAGAAGGCTGGTGTCCCCATGACTGGCACAGGGCTTTGAACATGTGCTGGTCAATGAATAAATGTGTAGGTGTTCTTCAATGTATTTCACGTTGGTAACCTGAGATTTCACACAAAAAAGATCTTAGGGGTTTTTCCTTTAAGTGGGAGGATGTTGTTTGATTAGCCAGGTGCCAGTCATTAGAGAAAAATTAAATCTGCAACGTCTGATGTTTCTAGCTTTGGAAACACGTGAAGCATTGAAATGGATATTCTACCATCTAATACATTTACTTTTGGGGGAATCTAGGAAGCTCTTATGGAAGAATATGCAATTGCAGCTCAGGTGTGGAAGCTGAGCACATGTGACCTGTGTGAAATCGCCAGGAACAGCGTGCTGCAGAGCGGCCTCTCACATCAGGTGCGGTGTGTGAGGGCATTGCCCTTCTGTCCTTTCAACATATGTACAGTGAATGCCTGCTGTGCGCCTGGCACTTTCTAGGGCGTGAGATCAGTGATGAACTGGATGAGCAGGGTCTCTGTCACATTGAAACTCATGTCCTAGGGGAGTATTCTGGGGAGGAGACTTCTGAATTTTCATGCCTGCTCTGTCACATTTTTCAGACCTCTGCTCATGTCATCTCCTCTCAGGGAGGCCTTCCCTGATTACCCATTCTATAATAGCCACACACTTGCCATCGTTTTCTATCCCTTTAATCTGCTTTTCTTTATAACATCGATTATTACTGACACTGTAATATTTAGTTATGTGTTTTTCTATCTTTCCTTCTAGAATGTAAATTCCATTAGGGCAGAGACTGTTTTGTTCAGCATTATATCCCTCAGGCCTAGTATAGCTCCTGGTACCTAGTAGGCACTCAGTATTTCTTGAATAGATGAATAGTACTTAGATGGAATAAAAAACTCTAGGGATGGGACCTGGATATCAGTAACTTTTTTTGGTTTTCTAAGTGATTCTGGTGTGCAGCCAGAGTTGAGAACCTTTGCCCTAGAGGGCGTCTTAGGTCCGCAGGTACTTCCTCTGAGTGAGGTCACTGGTACAGGAAGAGGGCTGCATTGGTGCTGCTCCCCAGAACCACCCAACTGTGTGCCCTTGTCAGTTCTCATGAGGGACTTCATAGAGTATTCACCTTGCCTTCTTCCTTGCCTTCCTGATGGAGGACCTGCTTCAGGGGCACTAATCTGATTTGGTGGGGCTAATGTCAGAGCTGCCGTGAGGATACAGAAAGTAAATCTAAGGTATATTGTTTCATTTGTATTTCTCTTGGTCCACAGGAAAAGCAAAAATTTTTGGGACAAAATTATTACAAAGAAGGGCCTGAAGGAAATGATATTCGAAAGACAAATGTTGCTCAGATCCGGATGGCGTTCCGATATGAGACTTTATGTAATGAGCTCAGCTTCCTGTCTGATGCCATGAAATCAGAAGAGATCACAGCCCTGACCAAGTAGGTCCAGTACTGGACACGCATTTTAACTTTTTGGTTTAATTTTAAGTTCTGCTGTGATTAACGGTGGTCGAAATACCAAACTAGGACTTTCCTCCATGGAGAGGATGCCTCTGCAGAACTATCAAACTAGTCGTTTTGGTTGCACTGTTCACTTTAAGATCTAACATGCCCACTTCTGTTAATATTTATGAGTAATAGGTGGTGACTCCTCCTTGGGGATGTGGGAGCTGGACACTTGTCTATACTCATTCCTAATTTTCCAAGTACTTCTCTTGAAATTGCTAGTGCTTGTATTGTGGGGGCCAGGGTGTTCCACAGTCCAGTGCCCACAGACATGAGGTCTGTGTGGTTTTCTGCATAGTCCTCTTTTGGCCCTGCGGGCTAGTTAGTAGTTGTTCATTTCAGCCTCTGGCTGGCTGGCTGCCTTAAACAAAATCAATTGTAAAGCTCCCTTTTGTAAAGGAGCTACTTGGAGAGAATTAAAATAGAAAACTTCCTTCTTTGTGTTTTTTATGATTTTTTCATTTAGCCCTCCACCCTCCTTTCTATTTAGGAAGCCAAATGTGCACAACACTTCTATTCTGTGTCTTGGTTTTCTCATCTGAAAAGTGAGGGTTTGGACTAGATGAGAGGTTTTCAGATGGTGTTCTGTGAATTCTCCTCCCTTCAGGGTAGGAGAGATTAAGGAGTGTGAGGTTCTGGGTGCTGCCTTTACTTCTTCAGTGACTACTTTCATCAGTTTTTCATTGAGATGTCTACATATTTTCAATTGAACTAAGGACTTTGAAGAGTATAGGACTAGATGATCTCTGTTCTTTTTGGCTCTAATATTCTATGATTATAACCCAATTATTATTTTACTTATGAAGAGTTAGGGTCAGAATTTACTTAAGGTTAGACACCAAATAAGTAATAGGACTAACACGAGGTGTCTCTTCTCCTAATCTAGTCCTTTCCCCACAATTCCATGAAGCCTCACAAATGTTAGAATTTTTAATCACTGTAACCTGGTGCATTTCTTTTTTAAGATGAAATTTCTCCCTTACCTAATATGTGGACTTTTTCAGAAGATATAAGTGGTCCCAGGGGCCAGGTAGAAAGTATTTTTTAAAACCAATCTGAATTTAAGCTTTGCCAATGTACTCTTCATCTGTGTTACTAGTGCCTGGTACATAGTAGGTGCTCAATAAATGTATATTGACTGATTAAATGAATTTCTCTTTTGACAACTTTTTAAGGATATGTGCTCCTAATACACGGCAAGCTGCTCAAGGACATTCCTGTCTATTTCTGTGGGCAAATGTAGACTATGGGAAGTCCTTCTGAATCTGTATGGGCTTAGAAGAACCCTATTTTTGCCTGTAAAAATGCTTATTTGACTTTGGATTGTCTTGTCTTGTGACTTTATAATGCTTGTTCCCTCCACTGGTCAACTTAGCATACAGATCAATGGGTTTTGTTTTTTTTTTTCTACTAGGCAAACATATATGCTACCTTATAGCTAATTATGACATTGAATGAAAACCCAGCATTTATCTTAGATATTCATTATTTTTGAAAATCTTTTTGTATACATTTGCCCTAACATAGCAAGCATTGTACAGTTTTTCAGTGTCATTTTATCTATATCAAGTTATTTGTTTTTAATTATTAAATAAAGTCTGTTAGGACTATGGCTCAGTAATTTAAAACAATTTCAATTTAATATTATTTAAAGCAAATGTTTAAGTTTTTACTTCAAGATTGGGCATCATGGAAAGCTATCAATAACTATTAATTTATTTTTAACTAAGACTCAGACATGGATGACATTCAGTAGGAAAACTCAAAAATTTCAAACCGAAGTTAGCTAGACTCAGAAGGTAAACCTTTGCTAACTTTTCCTGTAACTGCTGCCCTGTTATTTTGTGAGCCAAACCACATATGTCCATTTCCTTTTTCCTAGATAATACTTTAACCTATTCAGCCAACACTTACTGGATTTTACCTGTCCTGCAAACTTTTCAGACACCTTTTTCTATAGTTCTTTGTGCTTTTATTACATCATTGTACCTAACTGACCTTTTTTGGGGGTGAATCCTACTTTCTTTCGTGTTCACAGTTGGAATCAAAGGCAATTGTAGTCTAGTCCACATTTCTAAAAGAAGTTTTCGAGGCATATAATCCTTTACCTGCACTAAAAGGCTCAACTTCATGTTATGTGTTGCTTCAGACTGCATTGCTGAAATGATCAATGTCATTGCTTTTGCCTCACAAAAACAAATCACAGCTCCTGGGTTGGTGTTTACCAAGGCCTGTCCTGGGCCTTTACTTCCTCTTATCTTCGATTAAAGCAGAGTTGCAAACACATTCCTCTGGCGGCTTTCTCTTTGTTTCTGAGTGCTGTGCTGGTGAAACAACATTCATCTTTTTTTAGGTTTGTAGACACAGTGATGGTGTCTACACTGTGTACACTTAGGTGTATTACCAATATTGGTAATACACCTAAGTATTCCATACCTGAACAATGACTATATTATAAAGAACGAGTATAACTAACTGCAATAAAAGGGACACTAATCAGACAAATATAGCTCCTTGGAAATTCTCAACCTCTAAATAAATATTTTATTAGAGATAGAGGATACCGGAGAGTAAGACTACAAACAGCTGCAAGATTATCAAAATATATCTGAGGAGGCTTTACCGTCTTCTGATACCAAAATGTGGGCTTCTCTGTGATGATGAGTAAATTTAATTAAAAACTGCTACTTCTTATAAATGGCTTTCCTCTTTTCAACACTAAGATTCTAATATTCTTCTCCAATTACATTAATTTTATCTTAGAAATGATTTTACAAGGTAAACATCAAAACTGCCATAGGATGAATATTTTATCAATTATTTTTACTGTCCAATAGGATAAAATAACATGGAAACAAATGAAAGTTTGCTGTCAACTGTTTATATTTGTTGTGTTGCCCAGCATAAATGTGGGTGATCAGCAATTTCCCTAATCTCTAATTAGTTTTCTTATTCCTGGACAAAGTAAGCTTGACTTAATGAAGAAAAAAACCAGTTTAAAAATACAAATTCTTCAGACTGCCTTTTAATGACTCCAACTTCTCATGTTAAAAACCACTGAATCAAATGATATTTTCAAGCAGCCTTATTAATCAGGTATATATTAGATATAAGGAAATCAAATCCCATTTGAAATGAATTTTAAAACACAGCACACAAACATCACAACCCCCAGAGCACAATAGAAAATACTCTTCTAAAGAATATAAACATTTAGTATTTAAGAATGTAAAATCACATAAAAAAAATCTCTTCAATTAACTAAAATTTACTTGCTAAAGATTATTTATTGCACAATATATCAGTTTACCCTAAGACTAAAACAGATAATGTTATTCTCAATTTCTGAATTCAGTAGTCAAAGCCATTTTCTTAAACTAAAGTTCTGTAGCATTATAAGATGAGTTAACCTCTTATGTTACTGAGTTAGGATATGGAAAACTTCATAACTTATAAAACAAATTCCTTATAGTTCATGAAACCATTTCACAAATCCTAGAAGGCACACATTATATATTTCCTATTATAGTAAGTGCATTTAAGTACTTCATAATTAAAAAAGACAAAGCTGTACAGAATACAAAAAGTGTACATTTCATCCATTAAACAAATTTACAACTTTTACGATTAGTTATTACAACATAACCTAACATTCACATCTAAAGAATTATCACCCAGTTTAACGGAGTGAGCAAAAACCTGTGCTCATTTATTAGATAAGGCTAATAAAAAACATTTTCTATTTCACAGTAGATTCAGTTAGTGTCTTGGAGCTCATATTAGAAAATAGAAAGGTTTGGGCAATATCAAGTTACTGTGCTCACTGTTAAATAATTCCTCAAGAGGTGAAGGATTCTGAAGGATAAAATCATTGGCTAAAAACCTGTAAAGCAACTTTGTTCATTTTTAGAAACATTCTTACATTAAGCAATCTGAATTAGACTCAGCAAATCTAACCAAAAGGACAATTTAAAATCTTAGAGCTGTAAAAGATCTCAGAGAATCATTTATCCTAAGGTTTTCAAAATATGTTCATGGAATATTAACAATCCATGGAGGAGAATCAAGGTTTTGCAAATTTGACTTGAATTTAGTTAAAAAACATTTTTTTTTTTTGGGGAAAAAAAAAAAATTAAAAAAAAAAAAACAAATCCCATCATACAACTGTTTTACCAAATTCTAATATACTGGATATCACTTTGGATATCATCAATGCATTAATACTTGTTTTCATTGGCTGACTTTATAATATTTAGTATTATATGAAGTTTATATAAATAAATTTATACCAATAAAATGTGACTTTGATATAGTGGTATAAGGTGTGTGTGCACACATGCACACGTGTGCAACACATGTATATAGGGGTTACGAGTCAGATTTTGCTTGGATAAAGATTCTACTTCTGAAATAAAGTGTGAAAACTGCTGATAAAGTCTCAGTGTCTAAAGTATTAACCTACAAACCAGAGGAAAGGATATTCTCAATGTCACACAAACATAAAGTGCATTGCCAGGTTGATATGATAGAGCTCCCATACTCTCTACATAAACACCCTTAGTGAGTGAGTAGCTACTTGGTACTGCCCTCATCATGAATGTCAACCAATTAGTTATCAGTATTTTGGGGGAAATCAAGCTACCTTTGGTCAGACATTTTTCCTAGAAATGAATTATTTAATTTGCACACCTATTAAAATCCTAGTATCCAAAAATTCTGCCACTTAAATCGTATACTTTGGTACTTTGGAAAATAATAATATTTGCAATTTACCAATAGTCAGAAAAGTTACATGGAATGTTAATGTATTTTTAAAAGGAGACATCAGGCCCTAGTTTTATTATATGCTGAAATATTAATGTTTAACATAAAACGAATTGACAGAAAAATTTTAAAAAATGGTTGAAGTGCTATTAGTGAACATTATAATTCCATCTTTCGAAGTATTTCAAAGGAAGTAGAGGAAAACAGCAAGAAAGCCAAATTATCTCCTAATTTTCAGAGATGTTTTATGTACATATGGTTAAAAGGCTACATCCTATTTTATTCTAAATCTAAGAAGTTTGAGGATTTTACCTCAGAAAGATGCCTTCAAGTTCAGAAAATAAAAGCACCATAAACCAATATTGAATGACTTTTCATAATTTGGACATATAAAGTTTAGGATCTGTGATGAAAAATTTCCTTCTGAAACTCCAAGATGCATGAGCATTATCAAAAGCTATTTAGAATAGTCTCCCAGCTGTGGGAAAGCATTTCTAGAACAGCCAAGAAGATTCTCCCAAACAGAAATCCATTTATAAGGCAAAGTCTTGCCCAACTTACAATCCTCACCCAAATTATAAAGCATTGGGGGGCATGGGGTGGTGGGGAAAGGCTTTTAAGTAAAGAACATGTAGTTCCAAACACACTGCTAAAGTTATGAAATAACTGTGGATCATTTGATCATTTCAAGTAAAAATTATTAAAGGAGCACTAATTAACCACAAGAGGGCATACATACTCCTAGATTCCAGCAGGAAGACTAATTTAAGTAGTAACACACACTTTGATGTAGTCTACATTTTCAGTCATTTAAAATTTTCTCTCAGATGGCTACAACTTTTTAACATTCAAGGTTTATTTTAAACCTAACTAAACAGATTCCAGAATACTCCTATCCTGAAATTTAGTAGTGTTTCAGAAGCCTCTGGGAATGTCACTATTACCTCAGCAAAGGATTCAAGAGCAATTAGTTCTAATGTATATTAGAACAGATAAATAATAGGAAAATATGGTTCGAAACATTAGCAAATTTTAGTTTACCATAAATGGAAGACATGAAAAATTTATCAAAAGAAAGAAGACAAACTGTCAGAATAGCAGAAATAAGAGGGTGGGGAAAATTGATTTCTCTGTGCCTGTGCCACAACATCCCTGCATTCTTCCCCCATGACCAAAGTGTTTGTGGCCCACAATAGCAACAGAACACTACACTCGAAGGTCATGGCCTATGGGGCTGGCCTGCCTCATCAGCCATGTTAAGAATATAGTTAGCCATATCATCTTCAGTGGGTGCATCTGACACCACCCAAGATTCATTTGCTCCAGTCATCTGCAGGCGACAAATAGGGCAATTCCTATGTCGATCACTCCTAGTAGAGAAGTTGAAATAAAGAACAGTTTGTTTTATCTTTTTAAAAAAAAACAGGTTTGAAAAGTGACACATGTACATGGTTTTTAAAAAAGTAGGTAGCATAAAAGTATACATTGAAAAATAAATCTCGCCCTCCCATCTCAACCTTTAATTCGTATCCCCAGGGGTAACCACTGTTATCAGTTTCTCATATATTCTTCTAGAGACAGACTAAGCAAGATCAAGCTTGTGTGTATATACATCACTGCTCTTTTTACTTGTCAGTATATCCTGTAGGCCATTATGTATCAATACATATTAGAGCTGTCTATTCTTTTAAACAGACACTGTATAGATAGGCCATTATTTGTTTAACTATTTTCTCATAGAAGGATACTTAGGTTTTTCATGTGCTAGATTTTCCCCCGTCTTTTGCCATTACAAACAACAAAATGGAAGCATTAAATATTTAAAATAAAAGACACTATACATGCAGAATAATTTTCCTGATAAAGAGCTTATATATGATCACTTAAATAAGATGATGTTTTCCAAAGGGATTTTTTTTCTCGTCAAAAATTATTTTGGAAATTTAAAGAAATACCATATTTGAGCCAGAAACATGTCAGGCAGGGAAAATGTTTTTCTCTTCATCTCTCAGTGAAATCTGAGACCAAAGTAATTAAATTATATCAAATGTTCTCTGGCTTTTGTGCAAAAATTAAGAAATTGGTTCCAAACACTAAATGCAAAAGCTAGAGCTGGCACAAATTATTCAGATTCAATTCTGGTTCCTCAGAGATATTTTACAAGGTAATTGTGGATACTCTTCTGTGCATAAGTCACAATTTTCAAACAGTCAACTTCTGCTTCTGGCCAATGGGAACAAATTTATCTTCTCGCATAGAACGATAATAAATACAATGAAAATAAAATACAATGGTTTTCAACTAGACATCAGATGACACAGGATAATAATCCCTGAGAGACGGGAAGCCAAGAAGGTGAGCCTTATAACTGCCCCAGTTTAATGCCTTGAGACTTTCCAGGCAGCATAGCAAGCAGGGAGAACCTTGACGGAGCTTGGCAGGCTCCCTGAGTTGAAGGGACAGTGCTGAGACTCTCGGAAGGCTAAGGCAGCTAGAGTTCACGGGAAAGAATATTGGAGTGGAAAAAGCTGCACAAAGGGAGAATTCCAGAACCTACTGAAAGTTCCTTAGAGTATGTTTCAGCAGAGTAATGATCAGTGTGTGTGCATTTGAGGAAACTACTTGAGGCTGAGGAATCACCCAAAAGGATATCAGGGAACTGTATCCAGAGCTTACACCGGGTCTGGGATATTGCCTGTTCCCATCAGCCAGACTGGAAAACCTCATAATTCACAGAGCACTAAGTAGAGTAATCTGAAGAGTTTTGCCTCATTAGTAGGACATAATTTGCTCTAAAGTAAATACTGTTCTGGTCCTGCCTAACAAATCGTAAAAGCAAGACCCAAAAGGATCAAGCTGTTTCTAAGTTACTATATTTGAGAACAAAGCTCAAGAATATTTATAGGAATACAAAAATATCCAGTACCCAAAAAGGTAAAAAAATCACAATGTCTGGCGCCCAATCAAGAACTACCAGACATAAAAAGCAGAAAAATACAACCCAAAATGAAGAGAAAAATGAATCAAAACCAATCGATAACTGATAAAAATGTTAGAATTAGCAGACAAGAACATTAAAGGTCATAATAACCATATTTCATATATTAAAAAAAATAGAGGAAAGATCAAACATATCAAGTAGAAACATGGAAGACATTAAAAAACTCAAAACTTCTACGGATGAAAACTATGGTATCTGGATTAAAAAATACATTGGATGGGATTAATGACAAATTAGACATTGTAGAAAAAAGATTAGTGAACTTGAAAAGACATAGCAATATTAACTATCCAAAATAAAACACAAAGAAAATAACTCAAAAAGAAAAGAAGGAAAGTAAGCATCAGTGAGCTGCGGGACAACTTCAAGTGGTCTAATTTATGTGTAGCTGCAATCCCAGAATGAGAGGGGAGAGAACAGAAAAAAAAATTGCGAAATAATGGCTAAAAACCTTCCAAAATTGATGATGCCATAAACCTACAAATCTAAAGAGCTCAATGAATCCTAAGCATAAGGAACATGAAGAAAACTACTAAGGCACATTGTAATCAAATTGTTCAAAACCAGTGATAAAGGAAAAAACCTTAAAAGGAACCATAGGAAAAAAAAGTACATTACCCACACAGGAGAAAAGATAATGATGATAGAGATTTCTTATAGGAAACAATTCAAGAAAAATGAGAATGAAGCAATATCATTAAAGTATGAAAAAAAATACTACTACCAGTCTTGAAAATCTGACATTCAAGAAAATCCTATGGAATCTACAAAAAAGCTATCAGAACTAATAAATAGGTTTATAAGATTGCAGGATACACGACTGATACACAAAAATCTATTGTATTTCTACATACTAGCAACAATCCTAAACTGAATTTAAAAATATAATTTAAAATAGCATAAGAAATATAAAGTGTCAAGGGATAAATCTGTCAAAGACATGCAAAATTGAAAACTATAAAAATTGATGAGAAATTAAATAAGACCTAAATAAATGGAGAAAAATACTGTTTGTGGATTGAAAGACTCATTATTGTTAAACATCAACACTCTCCAAATTGATCTATTTAACACAATCCCAATCAAAATCCGTACGGCTTTTTTGTAGAAACTGACAAGTTGATTCTAGAACTCATATTGAAATTCAAAAGACCTAGAACAGCCAAAGTAACTTTGAAAAATAAGAACAAAGTTGGAGGACTAGCATGCCGATTTTAAGACTTATAAAAGCTAAATTAATCAAGGTAATGTGGTATTGGCATGAAATAGACAAAAAGATCAAGGGAACAGAACAGAATCCAGAAATAGACCCATGTATATTTGAGCAATTAATCTTCAACAAAGGTGCAGAGGCAATTTAGTGAAGATAGTGTTTTCAAAAATATGTGCTAAATAACTGGAGCCACGTGCAAAAAAAATTTTGATCAATACCTCACGCCATATTCAAAAATTAACTTAAAATAGATGACAGACCCAAACATAAAACCTTAAAGCTATAAAATTTTCAGAAGATAGAAAATAACCCTTAGGTTAGATAAAGATTTCTTAGATATGACACTAAAATCACTATCCATAAATTATGAACTGATTTATTGGACCTCATCAAAATTAAAAACTTCTACACTTTGAAAGATATTCTTAAAGAGAATGAAAAGACAAATCACAGAGTGGGAGAAAATATTTGCAAGTAATATATTTGATAAAAGATATATCCATAATATATAAAGGACTTTCAAACTGAATACAAAACAACCCAATTAAAAAATGGGCAAAAGATTTGAATGGACACTTCACCAAAAAAGACATATGGATGGTAAATTAGCATATGAAAAGATGCTCAACATCATCATTCAGTAGGGAAATGCATTAAAACCACAATGAGATACCACTATACATCTATTAGAATGGCTAAAATTAAAAGGACTAATCATACCAATTATTGACAAGGTTGTGAAGCAACTGTAGCTCTCATACACTGCTGAAGAGTGTAAAATGGTATAATCACTTTAGAAAAACAGTTGGCAGTTTCTTAAACATACCTACCATTTGACCTAGCCATTCCACTTTTAGGTATTTACCCAAGAAAGAACCCCCAAAATAAATGTCCATAAAGTGACTTGTCCACAAATATATATAGCAGCTTTATTTGTAATTGCCGAAAATTGGAAACAACCCAATGTCCATCAACAGGTGAGTGGATAAATAAGCTGTGGTATACCCATACAATGAATACTACTCAGCAATAAAAAGGAACTACTGATACACGTTACGACATGGGTAAGTCTTGAAATAATTATACAGAATGAAAGAAGCCAGACAAAAATAGAGTATGTACTATACTGTATGATTTCACTTATAAAAATTCTAGAAAATCCAAGTTATTTTATATCGACTGAAAACAGGTTAGTGGTTGTCTGGGCACTGGAAGGAAGGGGTAAGAAGGAGACTACAATGGGGCATGAGATAACTTTTGGGGGTGATGGATTTGTTCATTATCTGTATTGTGATGATGTTTTTTGTGTGCACATATGCCAAAACATAACAAATTGTACTTTAAATATATGTAGTCAATTATAAATTTATTGTATGTCAATTATAAATTCTCCTAAATGCTAGATTCTTATTTTGTAAAATAAAGTTTGCTCCAGGTCCAATATTCAAGTTTTTATATTATTTCTTCTAATCATATATAAAGAAAAAATACAGAAATAAGAAAAAAGGAAATGTGTGATTCTAGACTCATCAGGTACAAATCTTACAGCAAAAGTGGACTGCCAAAACTAAGATACCTCCCCACATTTTATAAACTTTAGGTATAGAAATAAAAATATTTTTAACTATTTATTGCCATAAAATTCGAAGTACTAAAGAACAACATCTCTTATACTTAACTACAATATTTTTGTATTTTTTGAAGTTTATTCATATACACTTTCCCATTTGACTTTTGCCTATCCCATGAAGGCGGCAGATAACTTACCATTTATCAATGCACTTTTGACAAAAGTTGTGAGCACAAGGAAGGATGAGGTCAGCTCGACCATCCATACAGATACAACACTCCTCTTCATCAGTCAGCTGCTTCACCCTGCAAGTGAACACTGAGCTGGAGCAATGATATTCTCTGTCATTATACTTTAAACTTTGTTTCCATTGCCTTAAAAAGCATTATCAAACATCTGTGTGCCCTCAGGATAAAGCAAATGACTCATGCAAAACTGGACTAAATCAACATACCTTTTAGGGATAGCAAATACATTAGAGAAGTACTGAGAGGGGCAAATTTCATAAAGATTGGATAAAAGATAAATTCTTCAATGGTTAAAAAGGAAATATGGATAAAAACTGGAAATATCCAGGTCTTTCTGAAAATAACTTAGCCTATTTAAATCATACTGAATTTATATAAATGAATTAAACTAACATGATTTATTCACCATGTAGGATACAAAGCTCTCTAATAAAATATGGACCTTGCCATCAGGGCCTTACTATGCTGATGCTGACAATGGGCATGTAAATGAAAGAATAGCTTAGTCTTAAGTGTCAGGTGCTATAGGAAACACAAAAGAGATAAAAAGCAAAGTCTCTGTCTTTAAGGAGTTCTTTCATCTTGAGAAGAAACATCAAGTCCTTTACTCTAGCTGCAATTCAGAGTGCCTCTGAATGAGGCAAGTGCCTTTTGCACGTGGTATTTTCCTTTCTTGGAATACTCTTGTGAGTCTGGTAAACTCCAACCTTGGTAACCCAAATAAAAATATCATATCATCTCCCTGTTCTCAAAGCCAACATTTGCCTCAATTAAACGACTTAAATTTTGTGTTTCGATTGGCTGTTTATTGGTGCGTATATCCATAAATAGTAAGCTCATTGAATAAAGGGACTTTGTCTTCTCAATAAATGTTTCCTGAAGTGATTTTAATTTGCTTTTTACCCTTTGTGCTGTTATATAATTTTTAGGCTTTCTTCATCAGGTGTATATGATTTTTATACTTATATAAAATGGAATATTTCAATGTATAACCATTAGACTATAAGCTCCTTAAAGGTAAAAGCTATTTCTAACATGTTTTTCTCTGCTGTGCTTATACAACTGTATAAAAGACATTGAGATATCACTTTAAAATTTGTCATTTTGAACATAAAACAGAATATAAGCAAATGTCAAATGTGCATTACATGTTAAATGCTAAGCAAAGAAGGAAGAAACAAGTATACTTCAAACTTGTTGGAAAGATGAGGCAGAAAAGTAATAGGATTTCAGCAGAGAACATGTCAGGTGAATAAACAAAGCTGTGGAGATAGGAAAAACGTGTGCGTGCGCACGTGTGTGTGTGTGTGTGTGTGAGTGTGTGAGTGTGTGAGTGTGTGAGTGGTCAGGCTCACGAATCCTGAGATTCGCAGCTGCCGGGAATAGTGGAGAGTCGGGCTTCGGGCCTGACTGCACCACCGGACCTCGGGGCCTATTGTCTGTGTGTTACAAGGAGTCTGGCATGTTGCCCTGGGAAGAAAACTGAGAGAAAAGGTTATTTAAATATAGCAGAGATAATCTGGTCCTTGAATGTCAAAATAAAAAGTTTAAACTTGTTCTGACAGGCAAACTAGAATCAGAGTTTGATCAAGAGGAAAGTAAATCCCTACTGAAATACTACTTTAGGAAACTTAACTGGGTGGGTAGTATGAGGGACAGTACAGAGGCAGGACAACCAGTTAGACCCTTATTTGAGCAATTACATTGGGAGATAATTAGGGCTTGATCTAAGGGGCATTATGAAAGATAAATCATCAGGATGTGGTAACAGATTAAATATTAAGTTTTAGTAATGGGCAAAATAGGGTAGCCGCTGAATTGAAATGGGGAAACTGAATGAAAACCTAGATGGATGTGGATCTAATGTATTTGATTTTTTTTCTATGTATGGTCATTTAATTGCCTTTTAGGTACTACATACTGTGTCAGACTCACACGAATTAGGATCTCTGCTTTTGAGGAGGTTACGATTTACACCCAAGGACCTGGATTTAGGCATCAGTAGCAGAGAATATATATAAATCCATAAAGAGTGACAGAATTCTGAAGGTTAGAGTTGAAAAGTGAGGAACAGAGGGCATTCTGAATAGAGGTTAAAGAAAGAACAGGTGACACAGAGGCAGCCAGTGGAACCTGTACAGTGTTTACTTGATTTTTTTTGCTACATTTCAAGCAGTACAATAACCAGAAGAAGAGTCTTGCTCTACTTGTCCTTGTTAGACTACTTATGGAATATTCAGTTCTATGCTCCCTGTCTTGAAAGACATATTGACAGATAAAGGATCATCCAGGAAAGCCTCCAGGACATTAGAAGAGACTCATAAATCAAGGTGGAAGGAACTGAGGATGCTTATCCTGGAGAACAGAGGCTCAGTGAGAATTTGATTACTGTTTTCAAATATTTGAAGGACTGGAAGAGAGACTTTGTTGGCGGAATTCCAAAGGGCAATGCCAGTGAAATAAGTAGACTATAGTAAAAATTTAATAATAATGATAGTTTACTCTTACAGACATATTAGTATAAGTCAGGTACTGTTCTAAGCACTTTACATTATTAACTCACTTAACTCTCCCAAGAGTCCTATGAAGCAGATACTATTATCACTATCCTCTTTTAAAAGAAGAGGAAACTGAGGAAAGAGAGTTTAATAACTTGTTCAACATCATGCAGTTAGGAGTATAGCCAGGACTTGAACACAGGCAATTTGGTTCTAGAATTTGTGCTGTGTTGCCTCAACAGAGCCAGATTTTGGCTACTCTGAGGAATATAATGCAAAAGAGAAAATTTCCTAGTAATTAGAGCCATCTATGTATGAAAAGACTTGCTTCTCTAAGGCAGAGTCCCATATAACTGCAGGCGTTCAAGTACAAGTTGGACTACCACTTAGCTAAATGTTGTAAGTAGGGTCTTAGTATTCAAACATCAGCAGTATCCAAGGATCAGCAGCAGTGAAACTATCTGGGAGCCTGACAGAACCTCAAGCTCTTCCTCAAAGCCACAGAATATCAAAGTTTAGGAAGCACTATAGACAGGATCCTTATATACCAGAGAGTAGTAAGGCAGAGGTTAGAAGCATGGCTGTAATGCCAGACAGGCCTGAATGTGAAGCTCAGCTAGGCAAATTTCTAGCCATATCCTTATTTGTCTAAACCTTACTTTCTCTTCATCTGAAAGGGGCCAACAATTTTATTTCAATCAGGTTGTTGTACAGATTTAATAGTTTATACATATAAAGCACTCATCACAATGCCTAACACCCTGTAAGTACTCAATAAATGTAAACCAGTAATAGTAATATGCATCAGATAAAAATACCTTTTAAGATCCCCTTCAACTTAAAAAGTCTGTTTTTCTATGAACTAGTATATCAGGGTGTAACTAAAAACCAAAAAAACATACACAGGCAAGAAACAGTCTTAACCTACCAACCAGGCATTGAGTTTCTCAGTCTTGAGGGCACATGAAAAGGGATAACATCCTTACCTCCTTAAGATGATTGCGACAGGAAAGAATTATTACTTTCATTTCATTTGTTATTACAGAACTTAAATATACTGATAAATACTATTCTCAACTTTCAAAATACTTTTAAAAAAATTAGCATTCTGAAGAGAGAAAGGGAAAAAAAATAGAAAATCAGATACCTGTCACTAAAAGATTAACTTTATAAAATATGGGAAAGATAAGCCTAAATGCTGCCCAATGTTCTAAAACTCATTTGGCATTTCAGTAACACTTGTTTAGCTCAAACCTAGAAAACCAAACAATCCTATTAATGATAAACAGGAAATGATAAATGGAAAATACAACTTTGTTACAACATAGTATTTGGAAACCAGTTGGTTAAGAATAGACCAGAAATTGCAACTGTAAATAGAGCAATAAAAGAGAAATGCTTGTTAAATGTATGCTTAACTTTAAGGTAAAGACACTGTCAATACAGATTTCTGCGGTCCACCTAGTATGACAGTAAGACGGGATGTCAATATGTGTGGACCCACGTAAAACTTTTTCCAATGAGACATGTACAAATTTAAATTATGGCAATAGGTGGGAGCTTTCCCATGCCAGAGGAGTTATAGAGAAGGAAAAGAAAGTTTAGATAGAACAATAATATGTTAGGCTTGAGTAAACAAGCATCATCACAGAAAACTCTGGCTGACTTCATTTCCTTCTGGTATATGCAATATGTACATGAACTATTTGTTTATTCCTGAATGGACTGCCAAATCCTGGAGCCAATATTTAAAAATTTAATGCTCCAATTAGTCAGATGTTTTTAAGAAAAACTGGAAAAGCTTTACCAGATTCTTGTATCTAATTCTCTAAGGCAGCAGTCCCCAACCTTTTTGGCACCAGGGACTGGTGCTCCTATGAGAATCTAATGCCTGATGATGTGAGGTGGAGCTGAGGTGGTGATGCTAGTGCTGGAGAGTGGCTGCAAATACAGATGAAGCTTTGCTTGCTGGCCTGCCAACTTACCTCTTCCTAACAGGCCACAAACTAGTACTGGTCCATGGCCTGGGGGTTGGGGACCCCTACTCTAAGGGCTTTAATTGTCTAAGAACGTAATTATCTATTAAAAGAGGAACATTAATTATAAATCTTTTGTCATTAAAAGTAGTATGTAGAGTGGAGAATGGATTCATGGAAATGGATTCATTGACAGAAATATTACCTGGTGTGAGCCACTTTAATTTTTCTTTAATTTGGCAGTCTAACAATGTCCTGAAGCACAGAATAATCCAAAAGCTGATCTGGGATATAACATCAATTGAGATAAAAAGTAATGTGATTTACAATGTCACAAACAGCACCAACAAAAATATTAATGAGATTTCAGTAGCTTGCATATTAGAAAATAAGAGAAACATTGTACTTATGTTTTGTATACCTTCCCATCCAAAGACTAGCCTGACAAGATGTCACAGATGATGAGTTTTCATCAGGATCTTCAGAAGTGGAGCTCTGTGCCAATACTCCTGCTGCTTGACTTGTGATATCTTTATAAAGTTGAATAAACTGGTACAAATTCATGATCCGTGATGCTTCTACAATGCCACTGCTTTTGTTAATCTACAAATACAAAGAAAATGAAAAAAAAAAAAAGTTGATAATTTCTCTGATCAATTTTTTCCAAAAAATGGGAACGAATATTTAGTTAAACATCCTACAAAATTGAAGTTTTCCAGGTTTTAAAATTACTTAACAAGAGAGAAAGAGTCTGAGCAAATGAATAATATGTTCCCTACATGTATGGGATTCAAAGTACTTATACAAATTTATCTCATTTGATACTCAAAATAACCCTGTAAAGTGGATTAGGCATCATCTAGTTTAGATTTGATGAGGTCAGGCGAGTTTCCCAGAGGTAAGAAATCAATTTTAGAGATCAGTACTGACAATTCTTTTCATTTTAATTACCTAATTAAAAGAGTTATTTGAATTCAACAACCACATGCCATTCTATGATAACTGAAACGATAGATTGCTTTCTTGACTATCTTAAGTTCTATTTTATACCCAAACTTCCAAAAGTGCATTAATCCTAACAAAAAGTGGTTTACTTTTTCTCAGAAAAATTTTGAGCTATAGTAAAAAACTTATTTAATATGAAGTGGAACCAGTGGTCTACAGGTTGTATCTATCTGTGCTCTAGCTTACATTCTTAATGTAAGGAGATATTTGTGGCAAGTGTGAGATAACAGTTAAGGAGAGAGAATATTGCTTTCATAAGATCTGGGGACTCATGGAGTGGGGCACATATTCACTTTTGAAATGACCAAAGCCAGGAGAGTTGAGGGTATACATAATATTTTTGGATGAAGAACTTAAGGTAATCGAAGACACATTTGAAATGAGAAAGACTTCCTTTTAGCAAAGGAGATGACATGGAAGACTGTGGGAACAGAAGTAAGTAATGAAATCTATTCCGTGTATACCAAAGTAAATGGAACAAAATCAGAAAATGCTGAGAAAGAAATGAAGAATGCAGGGAGAGATACAGACAGAGGGCCTTAAAATTGTGAATGAATTAGGTTTTGAAATGTATTGACAGAATTGGGGAAATGAGAAAATGAAATAGTTACATGTTAAAAAAAATATTATAGTAAATTTCCATATTTGGAATGAGAATAATAGTTGTAACTAACATTTATTGTCTACTATTTGAGAAGGCAGTGGGAGAAAAAAATGAGAATCAAGTATGAATCAGATTCCATGCCATAAAAATGGTAGAACCACTGCTAATAGTCAGAAAACTGATTTTGGGAAGGTAAGATCTATGTGAAAATAAAATACATAATATTATTTATAATAAAAGACTACACGTGGTTGAGAACAAATAAATGGAATTAAAGTGCTATGAATTTATAGAAGCTTGTAAAACAGATTTTCAGAGCTGAAGAAACTTCCTTTGGAAATGCATAGTTCAGATGAAATTAGGGAATAATTGATATAGACAAAGTTAATCAAACTGCAAAGTTAATGAAACTGCGACTATTATATATAATATTATCCATATAATAAATATTTATTGAGTACCTATTATGTGGATGTTATAGGTACTATGTGCACTGCTCTAGGCACTGGTGACATAGTGTATAACAGACAAAAATCCCTTGCCTCAGGGAGGTTACACTAAAGGCAGGAGAGACACAATAAAATACAGATTAGGTAAGATGGAAATTAGTGTTATGGAAAAGATTAAACAGAGAAGATGACATGCTAAAGGGTTACAGGGCGGGCCTCACAGAGGTGACATTTAAGAACTGGAAGAGGTACAAGAATGAATCAAATAGATATTTGGCGGAAAGATCATTCTAGGCTAAGAGAATAGGAAGTGCACAGGCTGTCAGGCAGATGTATACCTGGCAAGGAACACAAGGGATCCAGCAAGGAGCTCAAGGCAGCTGGAACAGAATGAGAGATGGAAGAGTGGGAGGAGATAAGGTTAGGGGGTGAAGTGGGAACAGAATGTATAGGACTTTGCTAGTTAGAGCAATGACTTTGGCTTTTATTCTAAGTACACGGGAAGTCACTGGAGGGTTTTGAGCCAACGAGTAATATGATCTGATTTCATTTCAGATTATGAGTGAAATGGACTGTTGTGCTGAAATTAGGCAGAATTGGTTCAAGGGTAGAAGCAGGGTGACCAATTAGGAGGCTATTGGAATAATCCCAGTTAGAGATGATGGTCACTAGGAGGGTGGTATTAGTGGAGATGGTGAAAAATTGCTAGATTCTGAATATATTTTAAAGACATATCTGACACAGGATTCACTTATAGATTGACTGTGGGGTATGAGAAAAAGAAGTCGAGCATGACTCCAAAGTTTTGGACTAAGTAACAAGGTAGATGAAAATACTATAATTCATGAAGTTTCTGAACAGCCACCTTAGTCCATAATTTTAATTAACCCATTAATATCTCTAATATTATTCCCATAAAATATATCATTTAAACATCATTTAGATTATTTTTAATAGTGAATTAAACATTTGAGGATAATCATCATATAAGGTCTTATTGTAAATGCAGAAAGTTTTAGCACAATTGTTTATTAGTTGCTTAAGATTAAGAAATATGAGCCATTCTGCTGTTGGATGCCACTGAGTAAGAACTGTGAAAGTCTCTCCTCCTGTGGTCATCATGTCTAAGTCAGGATCTCCCAAAGAGCCCTAACAGCTGTGGAAACTCTTCATTGGTGGTTTGCACTTTGAAATAGTGGATGAAAGCCTGAGGAGCCATTCTGAATAATGGGGAATGTTTACAGACTGTGTGATGATGAGAGATCCAAACACCGAGAGCTCTAGAGGCCTTGGGTTTGTCACATATGCCACTGTGAGGAGGTGGATACAGCCATGAATGCAAGGCCATACAAGGTGGATGGAAGAGTTGTGGAACCAGAACTCTTCCAAGAGAAGATTCTTAAAGACCTGGTACGCACTTAACTGTGAAAAAGATTTTTGTTGGTGATTAAAAAGACACCAAAGAACATCACCTAAGAGGTTGTTTTGAACAGTATGGGAAAACTGAAGTGATTGAAATCATGACTGACCAAGGTAGTAGCAACAAGAGAGGCTTTGCTTTTGTAACCTTTGATGACCATGACTCTGTAGATAAGAGTGTCATTCAGAAATCGGCCACAGCTGTGAAGTAAGGAAAGCCTATTTAAGCAAGAGATGGCTAGTGCTTCATCCAGCCAAAGAGGTAGAAGTGATTCTGGAAACTTCAATGGTGGTCATGGAGGTGGTTTTGGTGAGAATGACAACTTTGGTCATGGAAGAAATGTCAGTGGTTGAGGTGTCTTTGGTGCAGCCATGGTGCTGGAGGATATGGTGGCAGAGGGGATGGCTGTAATGGAAGCAATTTTGGAAATGGTGAAAGCTACAATGATTTTGGCAATCACAATAACCTCTTTAAATTTTGGACCCACGAAAGGAGGAAACTTTAGAGGCAGAAGCTCTGGCCCTTATGGTGGTGGAAGCCAATACTTTGCCAAACCACGACAACAAGGTGGCTATGGTGGTTCCAGCAGCTGCAGTAGCTATGGCAGTGGCAGAAGGTTTTAATTACTACCAGGAAACAAAGCTTAGTAAGAGAGGAGAGCCAGAGAAGTGACAAGGAAGCTACAGGTTACAAAAGGTTTGTGAACTCAGCCAAGCACAGTGGTGGCAGGGCCTAGCTGCTACAAAGAAGACATGTTTTAGACAATACTCATGTGTATGGGCAAAAAAGTTGGGAACTATATTTGTGACTAATTGTATAAAAGGTTATTTTAGTTTCTATTCTGTGGAAAGTGTAAAGCATTCCAATGAAGTGTTTTAATGTAGATTTTTTTTTTGTATCCATGCTGTTGATTACTAAATGTAATAGTCTGATCATAATGCTCAATGTCTTTAAAAAACAAAAGATTAAGAAATATGAAATTTCAGTCTCCTATCAGTTTTTCATATTAATTCCAAGTCTCTTTTTTTCTAATGTAACACTGACTTCTCATATTCCTTTAAAAAAGAACCTAAGGAATACAAATAAAACATTTCTTTAGATCTAAAATCAAGAAAAATTACAAAAGATCTGATTGCCTATATCTTTAATACTTTTGTTTTTCTATTTAGTATCTCTTTTTAAGGAAGATGCTTAATCACATAAAAATGTAATGGTTAGAGTTACTAAGGCAAAAAGGAATTTGACTAATAGTAATAATAAACATTAATTCTGTGTTTGCCAAAGAGGAGCAACAGAAAATTAAGGGATCAGAAACCACATACATTCATATTCCCAATGCTTTATAATTTATACTGGCCTCTTTTATACAGTGGGCTGAGTACATTATGAAATAAAGATGGAGAGAGGATATAATTTAGGTACTAAACTGTATCAATAAACAAGAAAGCTTCAATTTATCCCAGTCATTTAAAATGAGAGTATTTCTTCAAAAGATTTTGTTCACTCAACGTATATTGAATTCCTACCAGGTGTAAAGCACTACAGGCTGTAAAACATACAAGAATGAATCTAGACAGAGTTCCTGCCCTCAGGAGCTTAAATAAGTAATTTTATTTTTAATGTAGAATTTAATTACGTATAAATAAAATGCTATTGGAGTTTAGAAGAGGCAAGAGAATTTTCGTTATGGAAGACTTTTGTGGATTAGATAGTATTTGAGGTGGGCCTTTAAAGAAATATCAAGTTTAGACGTGCAGAAAAATAAAAGGTGAGGCAGAAACTATTGGCTGATTATACTAATGCTATTCCCACTTTTCACTGCCAGCCCTTATTTTTGTTTTGGAGTCTACTGCTGCCTGAAATGACTCAGGAGCCAGTCCTGGTTAGTTTTATCTAAACCAAGCATGGTTATCCCATTCCCTGTATCAGTGTAGGTATAAGAAGGGGATGTGGGTCAATACTGACCCAATGAGGGATCTGCTAGGTCTTTGAATTAACCAATCCAGGAGCTACTTTATATCAGGATTTCTTGACAAATGAGAAAATACTGTCTTTAATTAAACTAGTAGAACGGGTTTTCTGTGACTTGCAGCTGATGGCAATTTAAATGACAGAAGAATGGACATTCTAGTTGGGGGAATTTAATGAGCAGAGGGACCGAGGTGGAAAAGTAACAGCTATATATCCTTAAATTATTTAAGCCTGGTGAGACGGTGGAGTGCAAAAGGGAATAGTGGTAAATAAAACAGAAAAGATAGTTTGGAGCCATATTGTAAAGGGCCTTAAATACCAGGTTAAAGAGTTGGGACTATTTTGTAACAAATGAAGAATTGTTGAGGAATTTTAGGCAGAAAAGTAATTTGATGAGAATTGTACTTTAAAAAGGTTAATCTCAGAGCATCATAAATTAGAATTAGGAGATGAGTCTGGAGGTATGGACAGTAATCATGGAATCTAAGGTAATCTGGATGAAAAGAAAGAGGAACTTGAGTATAGTTACAGTCTCCTTGAGAAAATGAAATCTGTCTTATGAATACACTGGAAGTGAAACCTGGTAGAGGTCAAATTGACTAGATCAGATTGCCTGTTACTGCAGAGGAGAGGGCAAGAAAAGGAGTAAGAATGTGTTTTTCAGAAATGAACTTTGTCCTATAAATTCACCTATGAGTCTTCTGAATCTGATTTTCAAATAGTCCTGAAAGATTACATGCAGTGTAGGTCACAGCTGTGTGATGGTGGGTGTATGGGATATACTGAGCCTATCTGAATGAATTTTAGCCCAGTTCTTAATTTCTTCTTTACCTTACACCTTTGCTAAGTCAAAAGTTGTAGATTCCCACAGTTCTTTTGGCAGTGTACTTATAACAATGTTAAAAACTTCTAATGAATTTACTATAAATATAATTCAAAACTCAGTATTTTGGTTCTAACTACCAAAATAGTTTAAGCTCTGCATTGGATATCTCTATCACTCACCTTGGTACAAACCACCCGTACAACCACTTTCCAAAAGGCAGAGGAATCAGACCCAGGTTGTACCTCAAAGAGAAGATGTTTTTCCTGGCCAGAAGCCACTTTAGCAGTTCTGAAAAGAGATGAACACATTAGTTAATTTTCTAAAAAGTCATACAAAATAATAGAGCTCGAAATCAGATTCAAGAAACACTTTAAAACATAGAAGGAAATTTGAAGAAAACACACAAAGACAAATAATAATAATAATTACAACAATCAGATTCTTAAGACATAGGTACGGAATGTTTTGATTAAACATATAACTTAATTTCCAAGGCTTTTAAAGTCAACAGCATAGTGGAATGATATTAATAAAACTCTTTTTGCCATAATCTATATCTCAATGGTCTTTAAATTTCTAACAAACACATCTACGAAAAACATGTCCAAGGAATCGGGCACTCAAAAGAAAAACTTTAACTGGTTTCACTTATCCAAATTTTGACTATCCCCTCAGATGTATATAAAGTGTGAAAAAACTTTGCTCCTGGTTGAGTCCAATTATTATTACACTTAATATAATAATTGATATTATTTAAGTAACGATACTAACACATTTCTTTGAAAAGTTAATAATTTGGGTCTAGATTGATAAAATGATTTTGAGAGACTTTAAATATAGCTTTACTGTCTTCCCCTAGCAGAGTAATTTTAATGTAGAGAGCCATAGGATTCTAACATAAAAATATAACACTTTTAGAAGGTAATTCAATATCATGCCATCAGTGCCATATTTAAATCAGTTCAAAGACATATTTAAGTATTCTTGCTCCCTTCTATCATTACTCACATTTCTCTCCGAGCACCAGTGGGGATATCACATTCAGAACTAAGTGACTTACAGCTCAATAAATTGAGGCCACTGCAACTAGCCCTAGGTAATGAAGTCTGCCAGTAAAAGTAATTCAGCTGTGCCAGTTCCCAGTTCTGTTTTCTAGCTATCAAGCCATGCTTCTGCTGTATAGGTTTAACTTTAGTTCTCAGATAGCACTACACTTTTGAAATGTCCAACTCTGACCTATAAGAATTGGTTTTAAGAACCAGCACCTCTCCATTAAACAGTAAGCTTAGCTTGTGGTCGCTTTCACAGTTCCAAGACTCTAAAGGGATGGCAAATGCCACTGATTACTCTTCATAAGAGCTGTAGCAATAAACATAAAAAACCATTCTTATGATACTATTAAATTCTCAACTCCATATTACTTGTAAAGAATATGGTCCCAGAAGTAATGCCTCAAATACTATCATTTGGATGATCTTTTCCAAAAAAGAAGAAAAAAAGTAAAGTGTTAAAGTTTTAAAAACCCATGACTACATTTATATTATAAAAGATCAGACAATACACAAATATACAAGTAAAATGTAAAATCTCCCTCACTGCCCCCTTTTCCTACCAACTCCCCAGAGACCCAGTACTTATCCTTCTAGTTCACTTTCTATGTACTTATATACAGGATCCATCCAAATACCCATACAGGGCTTCCCCCACCCCCAAATAAACGAAATCCAGTGTTCTTAAAAGGAATGATCTAAGATAACTTTAACTTTTAAGGTATTGTTTACTGTTTGGGACTGGCTGATAACAGCAGACTCCAGTCACGTCCATAAAAAGACTGTATTTCCTTCTCTTTATCTAATGTGTTCCAGATGACCAAATATGTTTCTTATCAACCAATGCAGGTATCACAAAGCTTAGGGAGTAGATTCAGGTACCTTACCCTAAATTAACAGAGACTATAAGTTTATATATATACTAAGTGGGTCCACAATGCTAGGTGATTTTGTTTGGATTTTTTTTTTTTTTTTGATTTAAGAAGTTAAAGTGGGATAGTTAAGGCGGGATAGTGAAAAAAAAACTTCGGACTTAGGGAGAGCTAGATCTGCAATATTTGGGTAATCATTTTAGGCCTCAGTTAAAATGTTCAACCGTTAGAGTGCCTTACACATACTGTATGCTCAGTGAGTGCTAGCTAAATTGAACAGACTACATTTAAGATCTAAAGGAAATGTCATAATTATACCCCATGGGAGATTATATTAGAGAGAGAGAGGGAGCAAGGGAGGGAGGCAGGGAGGGAGGTAGAATAGGTGGTGCTAGAGGAAGACTTAGAAGTGATGTATGCTCACCTGTCACTAAGGGAGAAAACACGAACAAAAAGTAATATTTTAAAAGTATAACAATCTAGAACTATTTAAGAACAAAGAGCCCTAGGTATTTTAATAGCTTCTATGTAGATCAGTATAAAAATTGATATAATATAGAATAAATTCACAAATAAAATACTAAGTTCTATTAAATGTGTACTTTAAGGTAGAGAAATTTATATTCCATCTTAAACATTAATCTGTTCAAGAATTAAGCAGAGGTCTAAACATGTTAGGTGATTAGAAAATATTAATAAACAAAATATCTTATTCTTCAGTGATAGTAAATGAAGTATTACTACATGTGTATTTCTCTGGCACAACAATGGCTCAGTGAACAGACACAGGTGATTTATTTATTAACCAGGTGAATTGGTTGATATACAGAAACCTGAGTGTCCTTTGACTATCCCAGGAACCCTTCTCTAGAGTAGTTAACTGGCATATTCTCTTTTGTTATGCACCCTTTTAGTGCTTTTAAACAACATTTAATTTTACGTTCCTTCAGTCTCTATTGTTCCTATTACATTTTTAAAAATAGCTACACAGAAAGTGTTATAGTAGCCACTCAATAAATATTTGCTAACTGCTGTTGAAAACATTGTCTTACCAATTAATACTTCTGGTTACATCTCAGTCATGACATAAGGGGGGAAAATAAAAAGAAAAAAAGCAAGCCTTACACGTCATTAAGTTCAGCTACTCTCCCAAGAAATTCTTCATAAGTTAAGGAGCCACTTTCTCGAACTAGTGTGACATGTTTTACAACTTTTTCTGGTAACTTGTTAAGAACCAACTGCGTCTGATCCGAAATTTGCTGTCCCATGATGAAATGATATCTTCTGAAATCCAGAAAAAGTGTTGCTTCACATAGTTTCTGCCAAATATATATAAAAGTTACTTTTATATAAAAACAGCAATATACCCACCCCTTCAAGAAAGTAAGGAAAAACCAGGAACACCTTTAAGTGAGAGTTTAATAAACTTAAATGAGCCTAAGGTGAAATTTATTTAAACTATATTTTTAAAGTAAAGATTTGTTTCTATTTTTTAAAATCACATAGCTAAATGAGAAAACAAGATTCATTTATATTATTGGGAGGGTGATGAAATCTCTAATTCCTATAATTTTTCCAGGTCAAAAACCATTATCATACACACGCATATGCACTCGAAGGCATTTAAGTGACTGTATTTAATAGGAAGCTTGTTTACCTTATACAATTTTCCTCAGAACATTTCTTGACTACTTATTACATGTCATACTCCAAACTAAGGGCTTTCCACATATAATCTCATTTATTTCTTACACTATCCCTAAGAGGTAGGCAGTACTATATTCTTATTTTATGGATAAGGAAACAGAGATAAGCAACTTAGCTAAAGTTAAACAGTAAGTGGTCGATGTAAACTTTACATTCATGTTTTTCAGATTCAAGTGCTCATATTCTTAACCACTATGACATACTATGATGTTACCATAATATGTCAGCTATCGAAGACTATCATTTTATCTCACCCAAATTAACATTCATCATATAAAGCAGGCAAAATAGTAACATTCTCATAGGAAAATTTTGTCAGGAAATCTGATTTATCATTTAATAAAAAAATAATAAAGTTATAACTCTAAAGTATAAAATATATAACTTGAAAATATAAAAACATGTACAATAAGAATTCTCAGTATCCATAAATATGTAAATTTTGCTTTGGTATTAAAATTTAATGTACTGTATTTGAGACTTATTCTTTTAGTCACATTAAATAAAGGAAAAGTAAAATTGTATTATAAAAGAAAAACTCAACAATTACTGTCTTGAATCTGAGCCTACTTGGCAATAATAATTATTATATTACAGAGATAAATGAAAGGAAGTTGTTGAGGAAGATCCAGGGTACTAAAAAAAAAGTCTCTGAAGGCAAAATTATATATTTTAAATATAGCCAAGCAGATTCATAGCAACTGTATCTAAAGAGAAACAAAGATCTTAGCTCAGACGAGGTTTCTAGGGTATTCAACATTAGTGATTTCTGGATTTCAAATACTAGTAAAATTTCAGAGCACCATGGTGCTGCACATTTATTTTTATTCTAAGTAAGGATAGTTTCCAAAAATAAACAAAACAAACCCACAAAACTGAAGAAAAAAATTAAAAAGAATTTATAACCTGAAAAGTAAAGGATATATTAGAATAAAAGTCCTTCCCAACAAGGCAGTAACTTCACATTGATGTATACTACATACATACACGCATTGCCCTTATTTTTCTTGTTCTAATCCAAATTTCTGAAAACATCATTAGAAGCCAATGTTTCTAGACCACTGTGTTACGTGGCCTTTCTAAAAATTAAATTCAATAAGTACCATGTGCCTGGCACTGAATTCTGTGGATACAATAGCAAGTAAAAGAGACATGGTTCATGCCACTATGGAGCATCCAATACAGTGGAGAAAAGACAAACAATTTCACCAATAAATATATAATTATAAAATGAGAAGTGCTAATCCAAACAAGTACAGGGTGCTACAAAAGCCTATAAATGGGGACTTCACCTAGTCTTGTGTCAGGGAAGAAGTCCTAGGGCAAACAACATTTGACTTGAGATCAGTCAGTTAGCCAGAGAAGAGGGTTAGAGGCATGGTGAGAAGACAGTGCAGGCAGAGGTCATAGAAAGTGCCTAACACAGGAAAGAGCATGGTGACTTTGAGGTAATAAAAAAAAAAGCCAGAGTGACTAAAGTAGAGAGGCAGCAGGAGAGACTAGCACCAAGAGATGGGCTGTTTACAAGGCTGCATGCCTGCCCAATCTGTGGATGACTAAAATTGGAATGAATGAAGAAAGTCCACTGAATACTAGAATCAAGACTGAAACACTGATTTCCTGAAATGAAATAATCATGTCAAATATGACTAAAAGTTAGTCCTGAATATATTTTGAAAAGTCAACTGCACAAAAACACATAGGTAAGATGTGCTTAAAAGCAGTTAAAATATAAAAGGTCTGAGGGTTTCAGTCAAAATAAGTCAACAGTAAATATGGACAAGAGAGATGTTAAATAATCCTAAACTCCTGTTAGAAGCAGATGTCCAGAACAAAAACCCACTTCTATTGCGCTCTGCAATGGTTAGACCACACTGAAGTTCTGTGATCAGTTTTAAGACCACACTGAAGTTCTGTGATCAGTCACTTTTAAAGGGCATTAATCATTTGAACATTTTTGAGAGAGCATACAAGATGTTACAGAGCTAGAAAAGGAAACAAAACAATTTATTCTAACCAGCTCAGTAACAACATAGAGCAACAAATATCAGAAGAGCTTTCATGTGGAAGATTTATTTTTTACAATTACAGAGAAGAGGATGGCCAATAAGTGTGAATTAGGCAAATTTCAGGTCAAAATAAGAAATTGTCCATCATCTATAATTATGCAGAAGTGTTAAGGGTGGTCTTGTAATATATGTGAGCTTGCTTTCATTGAAAGTCTGGAGGTGTTTAAATAAAGATTAGAAGTTCATCTGACGAGTGTTTTAGAGAAGATTTTTGTTTGGGTGGGACGTGGAGTAGGTGATCTCTAACCTAATATTTTAGTACTAAAGTAAAACTTAAATTCTCTCTAGCTTTCCTATACCAATCCAATCAAAATGCGATAAAAGATTTTACTCAACTAAACTGAAATCTTTATAGTTTTAAATCTTTTTTTCCTAGAAATGAACATATTTACTTATTTTTATTATTTTTTATATTAGTTTTAGTTGTAGAGCATTGTAGTTAGACATTTATACAATTTATGAAGTGATACCCCCAATTATAGACTGAAATCTTTAAATTATACTTATATTACTTAAATAAAAACTTAAACTTTTGAATTACATGGTCATAATAGTGTAAAACATGTGATGATAATTTAATCAATGTGCTCACCAGATATTTTTTAAAAAGCTTTAATCACTTATTTACTGAATTAGAAAATGGTCCCTTTTTTTTCTGCATTGTTTTGATCTGGTGCTCTTTGAATGATGAGGTTTATAATTTGAGGCGGCATATTAATTTGTTATCCTGTAATTGCATTTGTTATCTGGAAAATCTGACTACTAACTCCTCTGATTAAAAGAGAACAACATCTAGAGACTACTAAAAGAGCATGGAACAGCAGTTCTCAGCCTGGTTCAGTGGAGAGAACCTAGAATTTATGGTTCATTTTGAATACCATAAAATAATGATAAATAGTAATGTCTATCACTAACATAAAAATATGACTCTGTGATCTATATGTAATATAAAGCCACACCCAAAGGTGTATGTTCACAAAAACAATCTGTTGAGGCCACCCTCTAGTCACTCGCCACAGGCTTTTCAGTGTCCCTCTTTGGTGACTTTGCACATTCTTATATCATAGCACATATCATCAGCTAGGTCACTTGACCATGCTCTCCTGTGAGTGTCTTTAAGATAGCGGCTGTATTCTCTCTTCTAGCAGATACATAAGCACACAATGTTTACAAATGGATATAGTAAATATTGTTGACAATTTTTGTTTTTTTATTACTCAGTATTCTTTTGACTCGTTAACTTGTTCAGTCATCTACTAGTACTAACTTGGAGAGAAGTTAAAGTTAAAAAATACATGGTAAAAAATATAAAGTTGAATCATTAATAATGTTTATGTAAATTGAGAGACATTTGATATTAGCAAAACACCTCTCTCTAGATCATGAAACAGTAGTATTGCATAGGAACATGATATGCAAACCCCTGGCATAGAATTCAGCAAAAAACAAATGTCTGTTCAAGATGTCTCAAAAAGCTAGCAGCTCTAATACTATTGTGCTACCTATAATTCAGTCCTTTCTAGGATAACAATGTGCTTTCAAAAAACATTTGAATGGTTTTAAAAATAAAGAACTACTGTTATTTTGAAACTCATATCAAGGATTCCAAAAATGCCACATTTTCTAGTGGGTGGTAACATATATTTGATCACTTCTTTTTCTAACAAATGAATTGCTGTAGTTCAAATATTCTTTATAAAGATATAAAATCACATCATAGGTAATAGGCAAAATAACAACCAACCAAACAAAATAACAACACTTAAAACTAAAAACCTTCATGAAAATTTATTGATAAAATATTCATTGATAAAAGGATTAAAGCACTTGAAAAGCCTGAAAGTGCAAAAGATGACTAGTTCACAAGTACTGTAGTATTTAGAAAAACTCTGAAACCTATTCTCCATGAAATCTGTATCAATTACTTTACTTACAAAAAAGATATTAATAATTGAAATAATTAACTATTTTCATCATGAAGTCGACTTTAACATCAGTGATTAAAAACTAAGTATTAAAACTAGGTCCCTAAGGGTACTATTTTATCACTCATTGCTTACTCAAAGTAGATCTGTAAGCAGATATCAGCTGTTATGCAAGACAAGAAATTAAGTTTTAACAGATACATTGGGAAACAATTAGAGCACTTAAGAGTCACTATAGAGTCTGAACGTCTGTTCTGGGCTCAAAGATCTTAATCAGAAAAAAAATATATAGAAAGAAAAACTATAAAAGGATAGAGAGTACTTGGAGATTAAGAATATGGATTTCTGATAGCACCAGTGTGTTTACTACATACATTTCATAGTCGGAATAATACACTATCTAGACTTGTAAGAATCCTCTCTGGACCTTCCCTGCGTTTGGGGAGAAGTGGGGTAAGGTAAATGTGTTAAATGTTTAGATGTGAAGCAAGAAGATCAGGTGACACACACCAAATATAAAGTTCACTTACATCAAATGACAAAGAACTTATTTTGGAAATATACAATACAATTCTGGAGGGAAATATTTAGAAACGGCAGCCAGGAAGCATCAAAGAAAAGGAGAAAAATCCATACTATTCTTGAGTTCTGAATTCAGGAAGCATCACTTTTTAGAGGGGAGACTTCACTATAGAGGCTACTAAATTAGGATCGTTGGTCCGCTGCACCTCATACCCCAGATTAAAAGCTGAATGCATAGAGCTCAATTTATAGCAAGAAGAATGGGCAGAGGGGAGTGGAAAAAAAAATAACTTTATGCATAAGATCTCAGAACTGAAAACCATAAGCAGCTTCATAAATACGCCAGAGGAAAAGAACTGACTCCACTTGGCACCGATGAGTAGGACAGGGTCAGAATATGGACATACACTGCAATTAAAATAAAGGGGCTGGGGATAAATTTGAATAATAGCAGTCCACATTTTGTAACACGATACAAATAACAGAAGAAATCATCTTCAAAACTAACACAGAAGGCTCCCTTCCCAGGAATCATTACTACAATTTTTAGCAAGGAAACGTTTATCTCAGCTGGGTGCCAACGTAAGTTCAACAAGGCAAGGCCTCTGGGAAGGGGAGCAGCCTAAACTAATTTAGACATGGAGGGCCAGCTAAACTAAGTAGATCGACCTGGCCACTTCAGAGTTATCGTCCAAGACAGAGGGTTTGTAATCTGGGGAGTCCGGTGCGGCGGGGACGCGCAGGGTTTTTAACGGCACCAATATGTTTAGTAAACACAACGGTCACCCTTGCCGCCTCAGCCCCTTCTCAAGCGCAATTGAACGTGGAGCTTTAACCAACAGCTACGTCCGCTAGCCGACAGACTGCTCCGGCGGCAATATTCAAAACCGGTTCCAGGATCTAGGAGGTAAAAGTCTCTCCAGGTCGCCCACATCCACCACCCAAACGAGATAAGCCACCTCCTCACACCCCGGGCCACTGGCAACTGCTGGGCTGGGGACTGTGCGTCCACGGCAGGACCTCCCAGCCCGCCCCGCGCCCTAAGCCAAGGCCTAGAAAGGGCCGCGGGGCTCGTCTCCCCACTGAAACCTGGCTCGGAAGTCGAGGCCAGGCCAGTGTTCTACTCCCGGCCCCAGGGTCGTGGAGCAGGCAGGAAGGGAAGTGACAAAAGGACAGCGCTGCGGAGCTCACCCCAGGTTCAAGACATCGCACTTTCGGCGTAACCAGCGCCTGCCTCAGCCCGCCGCTCGAACCCACGGGCTGTGGCCTTCCTGGCTCAGCCCACGACCCTGTCGCACCTCAGTGACGCAATAGCCCCGCCCCCAGCGCGTTGCCTGGTGACAGTGCTCGATCTTCTTCCCCAGAGTTCTTCGCTCTCTGGCTTCTCTGCTCTGGAGGATTTTCCCGTGGCAGAGCCCCAGAGGCCAGCTGAGAGGGAAGGTGGCCGCTAAAGCCAAGGAGAGGGATGTGCCCAAGTGGCTGTGGGAAGAGGCCTGCCCTGGCCGCAGAGTGGAGCCCAGCTGACTGCTTCTCCTGGCGCCATCTCCTAGGAGCTGACAAAGGCCACTCTGAGAGCCCGGGTTTGGTCAGGGTGTATAGAACATAAAGAATTTAGGACTTTTTAGACTTTATAAAATGTACGCCATTGGGAGCCAAGACAGTAATGTCAACTGGCAAACAACCAAGTCACATGACAGGAATGCACTTAGGGTGTGACCTGAACTCCCCAAACCACAGAAACCTCGCAGCCAAATGTCGAGAAAGGGCCATACAACTGAAAAACTCTACCCATCGAGGGCTCTATAAGCTGAGCACTTCAGACAGACCACACTCAAGGCTGACCAGAACACATCGTGAGGGTATTGCTACAGCCGAAGACCTCCACCTTCGGCCTATTGTAGCCATTGGCTTGGGACCGTTGGGAGGCTATCTGCCCCACCAGTTCCAGAGCTGACTTCAGGAATATGGAGGACTTTCACTCTTTCACTCCGTTCTGTAAGCCTCTACCTTCCTTTCTCTGTGAATTGTGTGTTAACCTGTGTGATTACCTGATTGGTTTGTCTGAGAAGGTTCCACTCAGTAAACCTGACATTGTGGAAAGACACAAATACGTCCAAGGGTATTACTTCCACAGCCACCTTCCTTGCTCATGACACAGGGGTTGGATTCCAAGCCACCACTTATTAGGCCTCCAACCTCCCACTGGTTATAGTTACACAAAGATTCTTACCATGAAATGGGGCTGATTATGCTCCCCTAGCTAGGTTAAGAAGCATAAAAGAAAGTAAACGGACAGTAACTAGCACAGGGTCCAAAATGTTAAGCCCTAATAAATGGCAGCTATTATTATTATGAACACATGTCGATGATACTCTGGCTTTTCAGAATGTCCACAGTCAATAATTGCTATCCATTAAGCATCTGTTGTGTCATATTTATTATATCACCGCAATCCTAAACGATAGATGTTAGAGACATACTAATATCATTTCGATTTAACAGAAAACAGTCCTAGAAAGATGAAATAACTTATCCAAGTTCCAACAGCTCATAAACGATAGAGGAAGAATTCAAATCCACAGTCTGGTTTCAGAATCTCAGGTTTTAGCTACTGCACTATATTTCTACTATTGGGTTTAACCCATTCTTGTCCATTCCATACTATTATCTCAGTCTTAAGTTCCCTCGTTATCTCACAGATAGGTAATTTAATAATATCTTAGCTGATCAATTTATCCTGGAATGTATTTATTCAGTCCATCTTGTATCTTGCTGCCAGACCAAGCAACTTAAAATACTATCTTTATTAATTCTACACCATAAAGGTGCTGGTGCTCAATATTAGGCCAGAGCAGGTCAACGAAATGGACCCCAGTGTTTGGGAACCCATTTTAAATGGATAATATTACCATACCATTGCCCTAAAAGATCTATATGGATCTTAAGGAGAGTCAGTTCCATATATGCTACCTGACCCTATTGTTATCGTATCAGTCCAAGCCATTGCTCACACCCTCCCCACAATCCTTCATAGCTATGTTGTATGATCACTGATCTCACTGCAACTCTTTATGGCCTAGTTTCCTTTGGCCTACCTCCTTTTCACCCACCTCAGGCTAGCTTTCTCTCTGCTTCAGCCATCTCACTTTGAATTCCCATTTTCCTGTCAACAGCTCCTCTGCCATTGTCCACTTTTCCTTTGCACAGTTTCTACTTTACTGAAATCAGAGGAATCCACTTTCCTGACAGCCTTCTTGGCTAGGAGACAAGTTAATCTTCTCCTCCCTAGATGTCAGTTCCTTTCACACTGTTTTACTACTGTCAATTAACCATCTCTGCTCCTTTAAACACTTCCATCTGGAAGTCTGGGTTTTTTTTTTCTAAGCCAGCAGAGTGATAAAATCAACCTAATAACTAATAACTACAGATCAAAGAAGTCATGTTTATCCTCGTGCAAATGGAAGACTCAAACCTTACCATTATCATGCAAGGAAAGATCAATGCAATGTGGACTGACGGGGCCAGGGAAAATGAAGTGAAAAAGCACAAGAACAACAGAGAGAGTACTTGCTCCAGTCTTGGAGCTATCCACCTTGGTCTTCTGGGTTCTTGTTGCTAGACAGACAGACCAGTGGAAAATGACTGAGACTACTCCGAGAAAACAAAACCCAGGTTGATTTATCACTCTGCTACATTGAAAACAAAGACTAGACATAGTCAATCTATAATTATATTTCCCAGATTACCTAAAAAGTGTCTTTTTATAGGTAGTTAATTTTCACTAATATTCATTTTGAATTAGGATCCAAACAAGATCCTCTCATTGCATTTGATTGTTTGATTTCAAGTCTTTTAACTTAGAGCAATCCTCCTCCCCTCCTTTTTTCATGCTATTAGCTCGTTGCTGATAGCATGACTAACTCGTTGAACTCGTTAGTCAGAGTTCAACCAGAGAAAGAGAACAAGTAGGAAATATATACTAAGAAATCTATTGCAAGGAATTAGGTTATTCAATTTACCCAATTTTTTCAGCGAGGCAAATTGGAAATCACAGGGCAAGGTGTCCAGAAGTGCAGCCTGGAACTCTTGGGCATGAACCGAAACTACTATGCACAAGTAGAATTTCTTTTTCTGGAAACCCTGAGTTTTGCTCTTAAATTCTTTCAGCTAAATGAATCAGAACCACCTGGATTATCTTTTCTCCCCATATTTCCTATAAATGCAGTTTGACTGTAGAGGCTTCATTAGATTCAGATTTGATTGTTCTGGAATGAATACTTCATAGGTGGTGCTGTGTGTTCCATGTTGCATCACATCAGGAGGCCCATAATATCTGCTGGTCCCACTTTAAGACTGAACATCTCATCAATATTTCATCTAATAGTTTTACCCATTGTGATAGTAGTGTGGATCCATTTTATCGGGGATTATAAAATGGTGATTTTCAAATTAATTATTTACTAGTGTCACTTCTGTAAAAAACTCTCCCTTAAGAACTAGGGCTATTTGGTTACCCTGAAATACTGTCCATTACAGGAAAGGCAGGAGAAAGGCAGAATTCTTTCCTTTTAAGGAGTTGATAACTAGTTACTTACAATCGTATCTAATGTGTTTCGGAATTTTAATATTTTTAGTATAATTATAAATTCATGAGTTTTATATATTTGATCATTTGCATTTATTATTACTTTTGATGTTTATACAGTCCCATCTTTTGCCAATGGTAACCACATCATATTATTTTTTTGACAAGACATTGATAGCTTCCTTATGTGCTGGCTTATCTTCTATATTTCACGCTCCAGCCCTAGAACTAGCCATTCTTCAAAGGAGTTCTGGATCCTCCTTCACTAAGCAATGGTGTTTAGGGACCACAATTTGGTTGCTGGATGTATTCGTAGCTATTGGATTATCATTACTTCTAGCTCTTTTCAGTGGACAGAGCTAGGGAATATATACGTTTAAAAAGAAAATAATTATCTAGAGTTCATACTGATGTTCCTAATTTCAATTTAATATTACAAAATTTTAAAGCTAACTTTGATTTTATATTTCAATCTCTTTTATCTTACATTGAAAATCTTAATCCCTAATAACATTAATTATTTACATTATAAGATATAGAAAATAGATTCGAAACAATACCAATATTACTATTGACTATTAGGTTACATGTTCTGACTGCTCTGTTCTTAGAATATATATTACTAAGGATGTAGAGTCAAAATGATATCGTCCCTTGAAATAATTCTTTTTCTTAGTGATTTCTCAGGGGGTTTTTTGTTTGTTTTTTTTTTAAAAGAATTACTTCTTAAATTTAATTTTACTTTTGAAATGTAAAAGTTTTGTATTTTTCCAAAGTCAGAACTATATGATAAGCATATTTGGAGAAGTATGTCTAGTCCCAATTCTCTACCTTGTTACCTCCTTATGCCTATATTTAGATGTTTTGGTCTTTTCAGGATTTTTGCAAATATAAGCAAATACATACACTTGCATATAAATATAAAGTAAGGCTATGTTTGTGTTTCCCGCCCCGTTCTTATGCAAAGTGTAGTATTCTGTAACTTCTTTTTTTTCACTTAATAATATAGCCTAGAGATCATTCCATATCATAGTAATTAATGAATAGATATACTTCATTTTTTTGAAAATGGGATAAAATAGATTTACCTCATTTTTTGAATTTCAACATATGGATTTACCATAGTTTATTCAACCAGACCCCTTCGGATGGATATTTGGGTTGTTACTATGCAGAGAATTCAACAATGTATGATCTTTTGTACAAATAATTCTTTTTTTTTTTTTTACCAGATACTACTAAATTCCTTTCTATAGGAAGAATTCTCAGCAGTAATGTATGAGAGTACTCATTACTCTGCACCTGGATCAAAAGAATATGCTGTCAAATTTTTGGATTTGTGGCAATCTGATAGAAGTGATATATCAGAGTGTAGTTTTAATTTTAATTTTTCTTATTGGGAGTGATATTGATCATCTTTCTTATAAATCATTTATAAATCATTTTCATCTTTGTTGTGAATGATCTATTCTTATTATTTTCCCCATTGGATTAATGGTCTTTAAAAAATGTTTAAGAGCTCTTTGTATAGTAAATATATTAGCCATTTGTCTATGTTTTAAATTGCAGATACCTTTTCCCAGTTTATAATTTGTCTTTTGACTTTGCTTAATGGGAATTTTGCACCATGTGAGCTTTTAAATTTTTATGTAGTCAAGTTCACCAAGGTATGTATACAGTCTAGTCTTCATAAAGACACCAATTTTGTCTTTATTGCTTCTGGATTTTGTATTATAGTTAGATTTTCCTC